TGATGAATTAGGCCTATTATTTTTTAAAATGATGATTTAATGACATGACATATTAACTAGAATAGAAGGAGACCTTTGAGGTATTTAATTTTTTTTTCTTTTTAATAAAAAGTTAATATTATTCACTTTCTATTTTTTCAAAAAAAATTGTAAGCATGAATCTCAAAATACACAATTTATTATTATTGTAATAGTTAATTGACCTTTAATATTATTGATTTATTATACAATTTATGATTAATTAATGTAAGTTAGCATTCATGAGTGATTTGTATATTAATTTTTTTTTAATTTATGTGTTTATAAGTATTTAAAATTGATGATATTATAGTACGTTTTAAAAACTTATTCTTCATAAAATAAAAAAATAAAAAGTTTAATTATGATTAAAAAATTCTTAAGTATGAAAATTTATTCTAAATAAACTAATTTATTTTATTTTTTAAAAATAATATGATCATTATTTTAGCTAAATAGATTTAATAAATTAAATTAGTCTATTATTAAGAAAATTAATGACATGTCATGCCAACTAGGAATGAGTGAGCCTTCTGAAGTGTAAAAGTATATTGGAGAAAAATAGTGATAGTTGAACGATGTTTTGGTCCTAAACAAAACATAAATGATATTTCAAGACAATTTCCTTAAGTTGGTGACCATTTAGAGAATCAACTCATTTATTAAGGAGAATATTGAAGTATCATCACATTTGGGAAGTTAAGATTATAATATTTATTTAATTTGCTTATGGAATTCATGAAAATTTTAAAGTATAGTATTTGATTATGAACTAAAGATAAACATCAAAAGTTTACTGGATCGAATATTTCAAATATCTATAATTTTAGGAAAAAAAATATTCAATCAATTAGTAATGAATTCTTTAATAAATATAATGATATCACTCCAAACTATTATTATTTTGCAAAATTCAAATTTAAATTATTAAATATTGACATAACGCGTGTCAACATATTAACTTTTATGTAACATATGTTATTTGTAATATGATCCATTATCATTGTTTTGTGCATAGCAACATATATAAAAGGTATTTTCATGTAGTTGTAATTAACTAAGGATGAATTTAAAATTAAATATATCCCATTAGAGTCGTATTCTCATTATTCATATAATATAGAAAAAAACCACCAAATTAAAGAAAAAAAGGACAAAATTCATTGTACCTCCTCTTTTTCTTTATGCTCATATAAATGGCAAATTATTAATTAGTTCAAATAAGACAATTGTACATAAGAGATGAGAGAACTCAATCATCAGTTATGCGACACATAATTTAGCTTTAGCAAAGTCAAATTAAGAAATTATCGGTCTATTAGCATTCTCTCCAATATCGATGAGTTTGTTAATAAAAGCTTGATAAACTGCATTTCAGATATTTTTTCTATAAAAATTTTCTGCTTAACTTCCTCGAGGTGATCAAATGCCATGTTCTACAAACTTTCGAGTTCAAATAATTTTTCAGTATCACTCTATATCATCTTTATCAAAAACCTAAGAAAGATAATACAAAGTCAACTCTCGGATTATTGAGAAATCATGACCAATGACCTCTATAAAAAAAAACCAAAAGCAATACAAACCTACATATCGAAATATGTCAAATATGGAAAGCTTCTTATCAAGCAAAGAATACATGAAAGCTTATCTGATTCTATCAACTAAAGGTCCAGTAGGTAAAATTATTTGACACTGTTCGAATTAAAAGGAAGTTTTGTTGGTGATTCATATCCTTCTTCACTCTGAGGAAGAATATAAAGCACCAAGAAGACTTCCCTTTAATCCTAACAATGTCAAACGATTTTATCTGCTCGATATTTTGATGGTGAAATCATATAAGCTATCATATATTATTTGCTTGACACAAAATTTCCCATACTTGGAATATCTCAAAATACAGGTTTGTAGTGTTTTAACTCTTTTTTCTGTAATTATTGATTATTTATCATATTTTTAGGATCCTCAGAATTTGAGAGTCGGCTTCTTGTTATGTTTGTTAGATTTTCGATGAAGATGACAGTGATTTGAACTCAAAATTTTGTCGATCATGACATCTTATTCACGCTTTTTATTTCAGATTTCTCTTTGTTTTATAGAGATCGTCTTACAAAAAAAAATGAATATTTTCGTTTCTATCAGTTTGCTATTACTAAAATATTTTATTTTAAGTAATGAAATAAATAAACATAACAAGTTGTTTCATTCTATAGATTTAGAACAGCAAATCAACAATTTTGCTAGTTTTAAAATTCAAAATCCTAAGAAACTTGTGTAATTATAGCATAACGCTAATCGGAAAAAAAAAGGTAATTTAAAAAAAAAAAAGTAAATTTTGAATAACTTTTATTAGTGTTATAATCATAAGGCAGTTTTTGGACTCTTTAAGTCTTCAACCTTAATCAAGAATAAGCAACCTAGCCTATAACTATTTAGAGGAATTTAGAAAATGATTTTATAATTTTAAGAAAAGCAAACAGGTACTATACATGTATATCATCAAGCAATTTGCAAACAAGGATCACAAACCAGCCAGATCATTGTCTCTTAAGGTGTTTCTGAACAGACTAAAAGAGGAAAATAATACTGATGTTAGATTTCACAAAAACAGTTTATAGAAAAACAATAGCAAAGAAAATCAAATTGAGAAGAACAAAAGGGGGAAACTTTAGAACAAATTGAGCGCGTATATATATATATATATATATATATATATATATATATATATATATATATTAGTATTTTGATCATAAGACATTTTTTGTCTCTTCAAGTCTTCAACCTTAATCAAAAATAAGCAACCTAGCCTATAACTATTTAGAGGAATTTAGAAAATGATTTTATAATTTTAATAAAAGCAAACAGTTTTCTATACATGTATATACAATATCAATAGATTAGTTATAGATTTACCTCTGATCATGGGGAAATGGAGTGGAGTCCTTGAAGGCAGGCAGAAGGACGTATATATATTGTACTAACAATGAAGCCTAGAAAACGAATTTTGAGGAAAAATGGGGAAATTTTGTTCCTTTTTTTTTAAAGACTACTATGTGTATTGAGTCGCCTACTTCACACATAGTAATCTTTCTGTGTACATTCTACACTTCTACTATGACAAGATATATATAGTCAAATCTTGCGTATATTTTACGCTTCTATTTTTTATTAAATAAACTGACATTAAATTCTTTTTTTACCTTTGACTAGATGCATTGTTATTGTAATGCGACTAATGGTTTGCGTACATTCTACGCTTCTATCGTTGACTAAATATATACACATTTAACCCTTCTTTGACCTTTAACTAGAGATATTGATAATTAATGGTCATTTTCCATTCAAGTACTAAAAGGCTAAGATATATTGTTCTTGTAATATAATTAATGGTCATTTTTATTCAATATTAAAAAAACTCTTTTCATTTTATTAATGGTCATTTTCCATTCAATACCAAAAAGTCATTTTCATTTTATTTATTTTTATCTCTAACGAATTAATATTTATGGTTTTTCATTTAATATTTATATTGTTGTTGTAATATAATTAATGGTTCATTTTCTATTCAATTCCAAAAAGCCATTTTCATTTTATTTATGATCATTTTTCATTCAATGGCAAAAAGCTCTTTTCATTTACATAAGTATTTTATGTGAAAAAATCTTTATTCAAGAGAGTAAAAACTATCTCCTATTTTTCTACTCTTTTTTTTGCATCATTTAATAAAAATTCTAACTCTGTTATTATTGACCTTCCATAATTTATGATATTAGCTTACATTTCTTGTTTTGTGTCATTAATATTAAAATGATTATTATTTATGCACAAAATGTAAACTTATGCCCTTATTTTTTAAAAAAAAAATTGCAAGATTCATTTAGTAAATTTTATTCTATATAAATAAACTTCTTATTATACAGTGAATTACAGTCACATCATGTTTTCGATTTATAAATGATTTTTGGCAATTCTTCAAATTTTTGACTAAAGACATGAATAATATTTGTACTTTCTTTCTCTGTCAAACTTGGATAGTTGATTTTCGAAAGTCCAAGTATGATTAATATTTTTAAGGAAACTTACATAAATATACTATAATAAAAAAATATTTACTATTTATAGCAATAATATTTTTTACTTGATCACTTTTAGTTCACTTATAATGTAAGTTTAATAAATATTACAAAGATAAATTTATTATTCAAATATAATACAAGTTTTAATGATGGATAATACATTTATCACACATTTTAATGCACTTATAATACAATGTGATAATTTTTTACCAAACAAACATAATATATTTCAAAAATAATTATAATTCAAATATATTTGCATACATAATTCACTTTTAATACATATTACAGATTTATCACAATATTGCCATAAATGATGATAAACAAAAAGTATCACTAAAATCAATAATTATTTTTAAAAATGTATTTATTCATGTAATTTTTCCATATTTTTATCTATATGTTAAACGCCTTAACTTCTTTATGGGTTTATAATTTTATATTTTGAACCCGTAATAACATTGTCTTATAATACTTTTAAACAAGGAATAATGTAGTTTTCTCTAACACCTTTCAAACGTTTAATTTGATTCTATAGTATGTATACTGTATACATGTAGATTTGTTCTTCGTTTGAAAAACTAGATCTCTTTATAAATTAAAAAAAAAATAAGTTCTTGTTCCAAAACAAACTTTCTTAATTTTTATTTATTTCTTATTATTTGGAATACAAAGAGATGCAACTTGGTAGTACAATGCACTTCTAAAATAAATTTCATCTACCCGGGATCGCCAAGTGATTTTAGGCTTGGAACTTTTATGTTGGAAGTCTCAAATTCTATATGATTAAGCTATTGCATAAAAACGAAAATTTTATCCTGTGTGCACCCAAAAAATAGCGAATGCGGATTTCTCTTATCATGATTAATAAAATTTAAAAAAAAAAACATCTGCTCAAGCAAACCATTTTATGCAACCAATGAAGGCCCTCTTAATGATTCTTTTGAACTTTGTTCCAAAACTAGAACTTCAGAAAAAACACGGTGCATATAAAATGAAATTTTTCTCTGACTTCTCAGGTATAGAAAAATTTTCTGAAGTCATGTTGAAGAATTTTGCAGCTTAAAAATTTGATAAAATTGCCTCAACTCAACTCTATGGTGCAACTGAAAAATCAATGACCAATGAAAAAAGCAGCTCAGCCCCAAAACCTACTAATGAAACCTTTCTTATCTTTCTTCATACGAGAGTCCAGTGATGGGAACTCAATAAGGTTATAGGCCAGGTCCAATACGATGGGATTACGAGCAACTGGTTGAAAGGCAGGTGGAAATGTTTCAATTCGAGGAACAACCTTCACGTTGGCTTCACCAACAGCTGATTCATATGTGTCCAATTTTTCCATGAGAAGTTTCTCCATCTGAAAGAAGTATAAAGCATGGGTTACACAAGTCGGGGGATCAGAAGAATACAAATGGAAATGGAAGCAGAAACTAGACAAACTAGAAAAGGAAGAACACGAAACAAAGTGCCTAAAAGAAACTCCGGAGTTCTTGGAATACAAAACAGATAGGCAATTGACTGTCATGGAATTAAATGAAAGTGAAGAAGCATCAAAACTTAGTTTCTACTACACATCAAATATCAAAAATTTATCAAGGCAGAACTATTTGTCATACTTGGTGCTTCAAACATTCAGGTGACCCTAATGTGTACCAAACTAAAACTAGAAGAGAATGGGAAAGGTTGAGCTAGCTTATGTAGAACTACCAGAAAACACGTCCAACAGTTGGGAGCATCTACGTAGTACTAAATGGATAAAAAACTGAAATGAACTGTGTAACTGAAACTTCTACTATGAGGGTGGAGGAAGGAGGGGGAATTTGCGTCAAACACAATGCTGAAGTGCTCAGCGAGAATTATCGATGAAGAAACACCATTTTACTTGTTCATGTTTGATTTTTTTTGGGACACAAGCAGAATTATAACACCAGAAGAAATTCCCTAACTGCGTTATCATTTCATTGAGTTGAAATCTTTTCCAGCACAAACACTTGAAAAACAACGGAATTTACAACTTCAGTCTTCACTTCACAATATGCCTATCAATTTGAGGAATTAAGCACACAAAATGCAGTATCCTCTGAGGGACACGGGAAGGAGAAAATTATTAATGCTTCTACTAAGATAAGCAAGAGGTTCATCTAATGTTAACTACATTTTGAATTACCAAGAATTCAAACCTCTTAGTTCAAACTTTTTTATTAACTCTCATGATTCTCGCAGTCGATATTTTATCTTCAGAAGAAATCCAAACTTCCTTTCTTCAATGTCATCAAATGCAATCAGAAAGATCATCAAAGAAGTTGGTTGGAAGTAGTTTTAACAATACAGAAAATCTCCATGGGTTTCTTCCTAGTTTCATATAGAAATATGTGGAACTGGTTCAATTTGCACCAAAGAACATCAAAGAGAAGGTGAATACAACAGATTAGCTAATGGGAATGACTGCAAAAGTATAACAGACATATGGAAGGCCAGATCATACCTTCTTATCAGTTCCATTCAATGAGATATTAGATATCTTTTTCGAGAGATTTTCTGGAGCCTTTTCCTCCTCCATAATTCCTCTGGCATGCTCAGCACAGCTGTTAGATCTGCTCTCATTATACAGTGTTTTCAGTTCCTTGATCATGACCTGTTACACATAAAAAACAATGACAAAAGGAGAAACAAAGAAGAAAAATTATTCACTGATATTACTGATTGAAGCGACATAAGTAGAAAATATAAAGATACTATAATTATGCATCAGAACTTAATTAACTTATATATTAAGGTCAACATGGATGTTTAAAGCCATAAAATCCAATTCCATGGCATTGTGGTGGTTAGACCAACTATGATATATGGGGCAGAGTGCTGGCTAATTAAGAGCTCTCATGTTCAGAAGATGCAAGTTGCGAAATAAGGATGTTGAGATGGACATATGGACATACTAGAAGAGAGAAGATTAGATGAGGAAAGCTGGGTAAGATGGTTTGGGCATGTGCACATAAGATGCGCTGATGCCTCCTCCACTCTAGTTCATGCCTATATAAAGGGTAATGTATTCCCTTGTAGATGCATCTCAAAAATTCTATAAAGTCATGGAATATAAACAAAGATAAGATGTGGTTGAACTCTCCTTGACAACCAAATACTTCAAGAAGATCCATAAAATCCTTTCATGGAGATCAAATAAATCTCAAGGAGGTCTACATCATTCTACATTAGAGAAATACGCTACTAATGGCCCTTGAATCACGAAGAAAATTCAAAGAGAAAAATCAAAAGGGAGGAACAGAAATGTACCCACATTCTTTATCAATAAAATTATGTTTCTTCATATTTGATTTGCGATTGCAATTTATTTTTTTTCACTTTAAAATTTATTGCAAACACTATTATATTTGATTTTGTTAGTAACATATAAAAAACAAGTGTAAATATTTATGTGTATAAAGATACATTACTAGATTTAAAACCATAGAAGTTCCCATCATATTTTATCCTTCAGGAAAAATGTAATCAACTAAAGTTTAATATTGTAGTAACTGTAGTATTACTATTAAGTTAAAAGAAAGATCTTAAGATGAGATTTAAAGTTCTGAGGATGTTGGGAAAATTATGAATACGTAAAGATACAAATTTGAACATTTCGGAGTAGAACTCTTTTGGAGTTGGGCGTACAAAATCTAACACGGGCATCTTCATACTAGTTCTCCCTATAAGAAACAGCTAGGAAGCTCTATCAATGAAGATTTAGAGAATATGCACAACAAAATTTTAATATAATATAAGCAGGTAATTTGACTGATTAAGTGCTTACCAGATCAGCAGCATTCGCGGACTGCAGTTTCATAAGAGCTGCATCAGCTAAAGAACGAGCTCGAGAGTACAAGGCATAAGCTTCTGTCCTCTTTCCCGCCGAACTGTAGGATTTTGCTAAGTAGAAGCACCTGGAGGGAAATTGATAACAGAGCTTTTAATAGATTTTAAACAAGAAAATATTAATCCTAGGGACAACGTTACAGATTCGGGAAGTTGCAACCCCATAAACCAAGTAAGATCTAAGATGACTAGCGCTTCATGGGGAACAGAAGGAGGAAGGCAAGAGGACTTGATAACAAGACCTCATCACAGTGCACAAGCAAAATTATTTTTCAGAACAGGCTGAAAATAAGAGGATCGGTAGGACTCCTAATGTCTAGCCAGAAGTCGAAATTAGTGCACCAAACTACAGGCCTGCCACATCAAATTGAACAAAAATTTTGCACATGAAGAAATAAGTGCAGAATGAAACTCAGTCTAAGTCATGAAGTAACTAGCAGGAGGCAAATAGATTAATTGAATAATGTCCTTTATCTAAGACAATGAACATTTTATAATAGTTTAAATAGATACTAGCACACGAACCACAATTTCAAATTACACCTAAGTCCAAACAGGCAAAGTATAATCTTACATAGTATCGCTGACCCATAATTTAATTGATCACCGCTTAAGCATTTTGTACATTGAAATGGTACAACTTCCTTATCTAAGACACTAAAAGTTCCAGATCTTCATTTCATAAATTCACCAATAATATTAGTTTTAGATAGCCACAATAAATGCTAAAACCGTATGAAGATAGTTTTCTCAAACTCCTCTTCTCACCAGAAACTTTTTCAACTATCACATGATAAAAGAAAAAATACGAGAACATACTTATTATAGTCCCACAGGTGGGAGGGTAGTGTGTACACAAACCTTACCCCTACCTTGAGAGTTAGATAGACCGTATCCGATAGACCCTTGGCTCAAAAAAAAACATTTCACTTAATAAAGTAATAATAGCCAACCTTTCTGCTCGGAAAACCATACTTTTCAGCTCACACTCTTCAGCTAACGCAACTTCTTCAATCTTTCTATCTCTTCCAGAACTAACTAGATCAGAAAGATCAGCAGTATTCTGCACCAGAGAAAGCAGTTAATACTTAACAGTGTAGTCCAACAGCCATATGAGTGAGCCTTGTCATATTGCCAATTCTAATCTAAATGCACTGATTAAGGATGTAATAAAAAAAATTGAGACTCGATAATTTTACCTGTAACAGTAGATCATACAGACGAACAAGCTCCTCTGGCTTCGTGACCTTTTCATTTTTATCATCACGGACCTTGTTGAGCTTGCTTTTAGCTATTTTAACTAGCAACTGGTTCCTCTCAATGGTTCGCTGACCTAAAATTGCACCAACGGCTTTATCCAGTCCACTTAACTCATCCTTCACATTTTCTGAATTAGCAGCCGTAACCTAAAAGACGAACCATGTGTATAAGATGAACAAATTCAGGACTTCAATTTGATTTATGCAATATATATCAAGATCAACTTGAAATTTCCAAGAACCAGCTAATAATGTAATATAAGGAGTAGTCACTCACCAGGTCATTCCGGATGCAGCTCCTGGCTTCGTGATATGCGGCAAATATTTTGTCATATAACACAAGTTTCTTCTCTGCTGGAAGAGAATCAGCAGCTGAACCATGGATATCTTTCTCCAGTTCCTGGGCTGATTGAATGGTACAGTGTATAATATAAGCTTGAAAATGATGTTTTAAAGGCAGATATGCGAATATGCAATTAGTTGACCAAAACACAAAGTGGTTAAAAGTTACTCCCTCCATTTCAATTTATGTGTCAGTGTTCGACTACGAACGAAGTATAAGAAAGAATATTTTTTTAGATCTTCTCGTTTTAATTTTAATACATGCAATGATATTTTTGTGGTTATAAATGCATGTCATTACGGGTAAATTGAGAAGTTTAAAGTCAACTTGTTTGCAAGTATAGAAAGGAGTCTGTTTTTGTTTGGAACAAACTAATAAGGAAAAAGTGTCACATAAATGAAACAAATGGAGAATTTCACTAGAGGTGCAAAAATGAGGAGAAATTTAAAACTAAATTACGAGCGTTCAAGTTGATGCCAGTGAAAATTAGCATTTCCCACTCAAGTTTGCAAAATCAACAATGTTGATGCAAACTTTTTTAGGTATAATACATTATAATACATGCATCTGTGTACTTTATTCATTGTAAGATTACTGACTTGTTGCATGGTATAACATGGCATTCCTAGTGGACAACTCCTTCAAGTTTTGGTTTGCCTCATTTTGTCACATATTTTATACTCTGTTATATTCCTCATGACTGTTGCAGGGACTAGACATGCAAATCTGTAACTGTGAACATCATTAACATTAGAAGACAACTCATAAGGGTCATAGAGAGTGCTCTGCAGCCTACAAGGATTTCAAGTACAGACATCCAAAAGCTAAGTGGAAAATATCAAGGAACTCCTAGAAATGCCCTGTTGAACAAAGAACACAAGTATGCAGACCAAAATCTAAAACAAGGTTGAAGGAACAAAATTTGGTTCAAAATAGTAGACTGGAACAATTCCAAACTCAAGAGACAAAAAAATTCCTAATGTTGAAGCTCCAGTAAGTTGACTATTGGTGCGTTTTTCAAAGTGCAACCTTTTGCATAAAGTAAACATACCTTTCAGGATGGACACACGTGTCTTTGCATTTGAAATTGGAAATCTATTTCCAAGCCAATGAAATTCTGTCATAGATGCAGCCTGCTGAGATCTTGCCTCTGCCATAGCAGCCTGTTAACAAAGAAAAAAGAGTAATAGATCAATTAGGAGCAAATCATCCTCCAAACTCATTCTTTAAAAAAAAAAAATTGAGAAAGACAGCACCAAGAAGTACAATGGAAGCATTATTATACAAAAAAAAAATAGTGCCTGTAAACCATACACACTTTTATTTTATCGGATGAATTGTAGATACACTTAGAAATGACAGCTCACCTCCAACTTTGCTTTGAAAAGGTCCAGTGCAGGCCCTTCAATTTCACCGATGGAAACGAGTTCAGAAGTTTGTAAGTTAGACTCACCAATCTTGTGTAAGCAATATCTGATACTAGGTTCTAGTTCCTCAACTCGCTCACGGCACAATACTTGGTTCTCTAGATCCCCATATTTTCCAAGTTCCTCATACACAGCCCTATCCAAATAAGAGATAAGTGAGAATTCAGGACCTTGTTGAAACAATAGTATAATTCAAATAAGAGAAGCGGATATGGCGAGCAGAATGAAGAGATTATTCCAAAACTTCATCCGTGGATATTATTTGGAAACAAACTAGACACTCTGGCCATTATATGTCAGCAATAGATTAGTATACATCTCCATAAAGACTATGGTACCTGGCACTTTTGAAACACTTTAGAGCAACGTCCCAATTTTGATCTTTTTCAAACAATAAACTCCCTTTCATGTATGCAGCATAAGCCTGCAGATCAGGAAACAAGATTGCTAAATTACACTACAAAGGCAAACTCTAGAAGATTTGTGCCAATAATTAAAAACTATATTGAGTCGCTTTAAGCATTGAAACACAAAATGAAACACCCCGTCTACACAAGAGAATGAAAGAAAATCATAACAATGCTAAAAGGATGTGATTAGAGAAGGAATGGGATGATCAGGGTGTTCAGATATTCAGATTAATTAACTATCGTCTATGCAAAATCTCCAAAAAAAAAAAACTATGTCGACAATTTGCAGATCTTCTAAGTTTGATTCAATATTTTTTTCACAAGGTAAATAATTTTACTAATCATCCAAAATTCTCCCACATAAAAGTAGTACATTAAAAAGTAGAGAGTCAAAAACATGATATGATTCTTTACATTTGATTCTCTGTTCTACCACCAACATATACAGGCAAGGTGAAAGGCACTACCAATTATATAAACTTAAAACAGATTTTACATTGTAATAAGTTCTCATTAAGGAACAAAGTTGATATACTGGGTCAGGTAAATGATTAGACACACAAAAGGGCAGATAGATTAATGGAAATAGGCATCTTTTAGACCGTTTTAGAACCGGAATAATAGAAAAGGATCTACATTTTTTCATCAGCTGCGAGAGTAGCTAAATGTCACATCCTTGACCATAGCCAACATTAATGACTATACTCGAACTGATTCACTACTGTCCCGTGTACATCACAATTGACTAACAACCTTCCAATGTAGCTACAAGTGGACCAAGTTTTCTCTCGACTCTCGAGCATTTACACATATAACACCAGCTAATATAGTTATCTTTCTTTTCCTCAGAATTTCAGCAGCAAGTTTAACCCCCTAATTGTCATCCAAATGAAGCTCTTTTCTTTGCTTTTATCCTTTCTATCCAAGTAAGTCACTAGGATTAGTTTGTTTTATCCTTCCAAGAGTACAGCTACTACCTAGACAAGGATTCTTTTTTTTTTAAGGTAACTTTACCTAGACAAAGATTCTAACACTTGGGAACTTACTCAATTTATGAAGTCATTAGCAAGTACAAGACAACTCCACTATGTAAGCTTCAAAGCCAGTTCCATTAAGAAATTAAAGATGATTGTGGTAAGTGCGGTCAGTATTTGAAAAATATTTATACTTTGATGAATTTTCATAGTAATAATATCTGTTTGGGTTTTATCCGCTTACAGGTGCACGACAAGGTAAAACTAAAACCACAAGAGGAAAGATTGTCTCAAAAGATCTACAATTTATAAGAATCACTGACGACTTAACTAAGAATAAAACAGAATAGAAGAAAAAAATCCATACAGGCAAAAACAACAGGAGAGAAAATCTGCGCTAGGTAGACCCGTGTGACAAGCTAGACCAAGAAAGAATGCAGGGAGTTTCGAACCTGATGCCCCTCATTTGGGAGATCCCATGCTCAACCAAATCGGTCACCCTTGCGAGTGAAGTAAATTCAGTTTTAGCACTGACAAAACCGAAGTTTGAAAGGAAAATAGAGAAATAAGTCGCACAAGAATCTGCTTCTTTCAGTATAATTTGAAGTCATAAGATACTAACATGTTAATCAAACTTATCAACCAAAATCTATAACATGGTTAATCTAAAGGACCCAATGACTTCCCTGCCACCACTACACATTAGTGGCATGAGTTCCCTTTCCCTTTTTTAATTGAAACTGGTAACATTGTATTCCTCAGCATTTAGGGCTATGCTGGCCACCTCCAAAAGTGTAAGTTACATAGAAAAAACAACAAAGAAAAAACAGGACTACTTACAAAGCTCCTACGCAATCCACAAGTTGAATTCCTTCTTCTATTTTCATTTCTTAACGCCAAAAACCTAAAGTGGTAATTACTTTCCACTTAATCTTCTCTATAGTGCATTCTTCCCTACAAAAATTATCTGACTTCTCTCCTTCCAAATGATCCACCAGATACAAGCAGGTACTGTTCTCCACCACCTCCTCTGGCTCTTACTACCTCCCCTTTTGACCCAACAACTTAGTAGGTCTGTTGTATGTTCTGGCATAATCCAATTTAGGCTCTTTATATTGGTGAATAGAGCCCATACTTGTGTTGTTATTTTACAGTGGAGAACCAGATGATTGCTGGTTTCTAGAGCCTCTTTACAAAGATAACATCTTGAGGCAATAATTTTTCCCCTCTTTTGAAGTTCAGTGTCAGGCAAGCTCTCCTATTTAACAACCAAGTGAAACACTTCACCTTAGTAGGGGCTAAACTCTTCCATATAGCAATCCATGGCCCTGATTTCTTCCCTGCACTTGTGGCTAGATCCCTTTTATACATTCTGTCCACATAGAATTGGCCATCAGTATGATGCCTCCATAGCAATTTATCTGTTTCCAGATTTGTGCCAGGAAAATTTCCAATCAAAGCTAGCATATCCAATACCCACTCTGTTTCCCAATCATTAAGAAATCTCCTTAAGAGCAAATTCCATCCTTTTAGGGACCAAACCTCTTGTATTTTGCTGTCAGGATTCAGGCAAATGGAAAACAACCCAGGGAACAAATTTTCCAAGGACCCTTGACCTGTCCAGTCTTCCTTCCAAAACAAGGCCTTATTTCCTCGACCAACCTTTATCCTTACATTGTCTTTGAAAGCCAGCCATAGGTTTCTTATAGTCCTCCATACTCCCACACCATATGTTTCCTCTCAACACCATTGATCTTTCTGACCATACTTCTGTTGAATGAGTTCCTTCCATAGAGCTTGATCATCCAAATTGTATCTCCACGACCATTTGGTAAGTCAGTTGTTGCTGTGTATTTTAAGGTTTCTTACTCCCAAACCCCCATATCTTTTGCTCTGTTGAACCGCCATCCATTTAACTAAGTTGTAGATCTTCTCAATCTTGTTACCTTGCCAAAGAATGTTTCTCCTCAATGAGTCTATAGCTTTGACTACTTTGCCGGGAATGGGAAAAAGTGACATCACACATGTTGGCAAAGAGTCTAAAACAGAATTAATCAAAGTTACTCTTCTCCCCAAGGATAGATATTGAGATTTCCAAAGTGTCAGTCTCCTCTCCGATTTTTCTAGTATACCATCCTAGATGCTAATCGCTTTATGCTTAGCACCCAATGGCAAACCTAGATAAACTGTAGGCAACCTCTCTATCTTTGCACTTCAATATATTGGACAAAGCTTGAATCTGTTGGACCTCTTCAATAGGAAAAATGCTACTTTTCTCCAATTCACCTTAAGTCCAGAGCATGCCTCAAAAAATACCAGAATAATTCTGTCATTCTGATGTGACAGGAGTTGTTCCTGCTCTTCTTCACAAAAAATTATTGTGTCATCTGCATACAATAAATGAGTCATATCCATCACCTCATTAACCCTGTTTTTTATTCTGAAACCCCTAATCCAGTTGTTTATAGAAGCTCTCCTCATCGAACTGTCCAACCCTTCCATGGCAGTGATAAACATGAGAGGGGACAAAGGGTCTCCTTGTCTAAGACCTCTTTCAACGGGAAAAAAACCTACAAGTTCCCTTTCCCTGACTCCATGTATTTCAGAAAGATCATCCTAATCAAAAGAAAAATGAACAAAGAGACTTCAAGTATAGAAAGGAAAAAGCATTTTGAGAAGATCAACAACTCAGCAACTTTGGCAGCACCTCAGGAGTCGAAATGAACGAAGGTTTGGGCTAATGAATAAACTCAAATGCTCTCATGAGCAAGCACATTGCCATGTATATGAGAATCATGACACAAGAAAAGCATACCTCAGCTTCTAAAGATGTTCTTGAATCTCCCTTGATGGAACATAATTCCTGGAAAAGACTAGCCCATTTAACCGCCTTTCTCAACCGACCAATCAGATAACTTCTTTGGCGTGCATTTGGTCCATCAGGCAATGTTTTCTTTTCCATAGCATGACTCCAAGCTCTTTCAGATGTATAGAGAACCAAGTGAAGAAACCTACAACAAGCGTAAATCATTGAGATTGTTAAGCATTGATCAACTTTGTACGTTCAAGAGATAACAAAGAAATTATGACTCATATTAGGCAGAGTAGATTGTTCATAATTCAATAGACAGCAATATCCGCAGAAAGTATAGATCACACTACAAAAAGAAGTATAACACTTCTCTCTTTATACTTCTTCAAGGAACTAGATCTTTAACATGTCAACCGTTTAGAAATCAACTCAAGAAATGCACCCAAGTGCTCCAAAAAGGGCGTCATGATAGCTTCATCAAATTATTAGTTTAGACTTGCAAACATACAATTGTTAAATAAAATAACCCAATACAGCAGAAACTCTTCTACTTCCTCTCTTTTATCCCTTCTCTGAGTCTGACAAACCTTCACTAGGCAATGCCTGCATGAATTTTCAATTGATGCCTTTTTTAGTACGGTTAGATATATATCATTTTAGTAATAAGTGTAGTCTAGAGGTCAATGAAGTGGGATGAAAAAACATGTGAGACTTGGATTGAAATCTCAACAGAGAAACACTAGGTGATTTCTTTTCAATTGCCTAAACCCGAGTGGATAAAGTTAACAAGTAACTCTACTAGTGGGAGCTAGCAAGTATGTGGTGAAATAGTTTAGTGATGCACAAGCTGGCCTGGACGTCGCCATTAGAGGCGGAGCTAGTATGGGTCCAGGGGTTCATTTAAACCTTTCAGCAGAAAACAACACAATTTATACATGGTTCAAACTATTATATATGTAAGTATACAGTAGATGTTGAACCCCCTTCGACTTCTTCGTATTTTTTTTCTTCGTATTTTTTTTCTTCGTGTTTCGAACCCCCACAACGAAAATCCTGACTTTGCCCCTAGTCACTATTATCTAAAAAAGAAAAGAGTGAAATTTTGGACTGAACAAGAAGTAGAGAATTCATATAATCGACCCTAATTAGTTTGAGTGATGGGTAATTTTTGTTGCTGTATTAATAAAATACAATCTTTAAACACATTACCATATGTGCTGGCATGCTAGGGTCCCCTTGCTTAAAAGAACCAAAAAACTAAAAAGAACCCCTAAATTTTCAACAAATCTATGACTCAAATTATAAACAAAACAAATACTAGCCATACAAAACATGACAAACAAAATACAGATACACACACCTTACTTCGGTGACCGTAGTTACTGAAATTGAACGCTTAGTGTACTTCAAACGTCCGTGAGTAAACTTGAGTGATTTATACAATCTCCTTAATCGAGCCGTACAATACCTCCTGCAAATTCCAATTTTCTTAAACCTTTAACACCAAAATCACTCAAAAACAAATCACACCTAAATCAGATATTCATTGTTTGAGGAACATGGATGTGTCGGAATCACCTGTAACGAGCATAATCACCGAATCTCAGTCCATGCTGCATTTGAGCAGATTTTAAAAGCTGTAACACTAGAAAAATGCACCTAAATTCAGTGAAATCTCCACAATTTTCAACGCAATTGAAGAAAGGAACCAGCGGATAAACCTTTGAGGAAGGAGAGAGAGAGTACCATTGACAGAGAACTTAAGGTTACTGATCTGGTCAGAAGGAATAGAACTCTGATCCTCGATTTCCATAGCAGTACTTTCCTTCTGCTTCCCCATTTCCAGCTAATGGCCGAGCGTTTTCTGATTCAATTTCATTTTTTTGGGTTAAAATGATTCTTACTTTTTTTAACTAGTTAATCGCCATATCCCTCACTTTCTCATTTGATTTATTTTCTGTTTCTTCCAGGGAACACAACCTAGAAACATCAAATTCGTGCGAAATGAAAGTAAAACAAATAACGATAAGCACTATTTGTGAAGTTGCTCAAATAAATTCAGGTATGAAGGAATCAGATGGTCAAAGTTTTCAGATCTGTGGTTAAGAGATTGATATGAAGAACAGACAATTCAAGAAAAATGGAAGATATTAGAAAACTCTTACAATAATCTCAGCAATGGCAGAATCAATACCTGGGTCGGTGTTGAGGATGGCCTTTGATTCTCGCCCTTTTTTGTGCACAGACGGAAGAACAAAGAAGACGACAGTAGAAAATGGCGTTAATTTTATAAAAGTAGATAATAAATGTACTCTAAATAAAAATATTAGTACCAGCTTCCTCTCTTTTTTACAAGCTTCTTGAAAAAAAATTAACAAAAAAAATATAATAACAATTAATTAATATTTTACCAATTTTAAAAAATTAAATATTATAAAATATAGTGGTAGTAAACTTCATTGAACTTTGCGAGATTATTAATATTAAATTTTTTTTTAAAAAATGTATACCCATTGTTATAAAATATAAACTTACAATAAAATATTAAGAAGACAAAAACAGAGAAACTTTTCTTCTATTCAAGAATATTTTGGTGAATGATATGTTTATTTATAATGTTGAGATATCACTTTCAAATGTCACTAAATTAATAGATACATGTTTATTCACAACGGATTATATCACCTTGAAAATATACATACATGAATTCAAGTAATTCATGAATTTATTCAATGAACATTTCACTTAGTTAAATCAATTTATAACGTTCCCCTTAGATGTCCATAGATAATGTATTTCGTTAAAACTTTGCTAGAACCCTATGGGAATAAAATTCTAGTTTTAAAAAAAAAGTACACATCTTTTGATACGCATAATTTGTTGCCTCATTAAAAACCTTGCCAGGAAAACCAGTGGGACAAAACCTCGATCATGGAAAAAAGAGCGCAACGCGTATCATACTCCCCTAATCAAAACATCACTTAATTTCTTATGATGATGTCATCCAATTTTATATACCAACTCCTAATATTAATAATGAAAGTGCCTTTGTGATCAAATTGCCTTCACGAACATCGTTGAACTCAACCTGATAGATCATTTTTTGATTTGGTGAATATGACGAGACTTTGAGATTAGCCGAATACATTATTGAATATCATTCTATTCGTCATGACCTCGTTGTTGCAAGTAAATTGGTTATTCAACTTGTTCACATCAATAATCATCTTGTGGACACTTTCATTTGCAGTTGATTATCTTCGTATATTGTGGTTGGTATATTCTTTTTTCAATGAAAAATCACACATTTTCTGAATATGGTGTGTCATTGATATATTCTTTTTTAATGAAAAATCACACATTTTCTGAATATGGTGTGTCATTGATCTCAACCAAACGCACTTTCAACTTGCTTCATGAAAGGTTATTATTTCTGCATGGGGGCTACAAATATCTGTTTCATTGATCGTCAAGAAATTTTTTGTGTCTCGGCATTTATATAAATAGCGTGTTTGAGACTGAACTTTATAGAGATCAAATAAATATTTTGCATCTATGTAACCAGTCAGCTCTGACTTGAATTCCTCGAATAAAATAAACTCATGTCTATGGTCTTTCGAAGATATTCAAATGTGTACTCTAACACCATTTCAATGTCCTTTTGTGGAGAGGAACTGAATCTTGATATTTGATCGAGTATTATTAGCAAGATGCACTAGTGTCTTGATTGTGCACTAAGATATAGAGTTTCATCACCAAGAAGTTATTCATTCTTTTTTAGAGATCAGACTGAATCATCATTTATATCAAGCGATCTCATAGTCATTAGGGTACTCAATGAATGTAAATTACACATATAAAATCGCATCAAAAGATTTTTGTGTATGTTGACTGATGGACAAATATTTCATTCATCAAATTATCAATCTGTAGGTCAAAACATAATTCTTTTTTACCAAGACCTTTTCAAACACTCGACAACTTTTGAAAGCTTTTTAAGAGTGCTAATGATTCAAGTCATCAACATACACAACTATTATAACAGATTCAAATTCTGACCATTTCATAAAACTGCAAGGATAATTAGGGTCATTCTTTTGTACCCTTTTCTTACTTGACTATTTAAACTTATTTAAGGATTCTTGAAGCCTTATTGAAAAAGTTTCTTTCGAACTTTTATATGTTTCAGGCACCTCGATTACTTAAAGGATTTCTATACAACCTTCATTGTTGTCTAGCTAGACATGATAATTATCCATTATATGTATTCAAGTTTTTCATATATTGTCAAATCAAAAGAAATCTCATTGCATCCATCATAGGAGAAAACATCTCCAATAATGTCCGTATTTTTGCGATAAACCTTTATGCCCCAAGGCACAAGCCGTACTTGATATCTTACGGTTATAATATCTTATAATAATTTCTTTGTACCCTAATGACATTACATCTTGATTTATGGACTGTCAATCCAAAAGTCACTTTTTTAAGTAAAACAAAATATACTTGAATTGTGCAACTACTTTGCCAATCATTTATTTGTAGACACTCTATGACAGATTTAAATTCAAGTTCCTCGTTACAATTTATTTCATTGAACGCTACCTCATATCAAAGATACCATCGACGGTTATTTGATATCAATTCCAACATGACATAACTTATTGAGATATCTTCATTTTTCATCATTTTCAGGTACCTGAACTTTTTCCAAGGTTTTATGAAGTGTTATGTCATGGTGCTCTCTTATAGCACTTGTCTCATTATCATGACCATATTGATCATTTTCTCCTCTCCTTCTTCAAGAAATTTTACATTTGGAATCAATTGGTCTATTATGCTTTAAGTGTATCATACACTCTTTTCTTCAAGGACTTTTCGTTATAGCATTTGCAGCTGAATTATAACATAGGGTCAGTAAATTCATCTGGCAATAAATTTGCAACATTATGCAAAAAAAATTATTCCTTTAACTTCACGTTCACATTTTCTTTTAACGAGGAATATAATATAAAGAGAAGAAAACAAAAGAAATAAGATGGAAGAGAGAAGACTTTTCCTCTATTCAAATATATCCTTCAAATGGTGAGTGATATCTCTATTTATAGTGATGAGATATCACTCCCAAAGGTCACCAAATTAATAGATACATGTTTATCCGCAGTAGATCATATCACCTTAAAAATATACATACATGAATTTAAGTAATTCATGAATATATTCAATGAACAATCCACTTAGTTAAATAGATTGATAACACCCTTCAATTTGTTGTTTAAGGGTAATATATCTTTGTTAAGAAATGACTTTGTATATACTACTAGATTAGTGCAACATGTGCTATGCATGAGCCCAACAAATTGATTAAGGAACATTTTAAATATATTTTACTTGAGAAAAATTAAATTATTACGAGATATTTGAAATAAAAATTATTTGTATACCAAAATTGCAAGGAATGCAAATATATATTTACAAATATACTAAAAAATTGCGCCTTAGTTAGGGAGGAATGTCAATAACCCTTTGTTGTTTGTATGAGAGTTTAAATAAAATAAGAAACTAAAAGTTCTTACAACATTTTATAAGAAAAAAAAAGTAAACAAACAATACAGATTTTTGACAAAATACAACTCTATTATTCAAGTTCTTAATGAGGGAAAAGAAGAGAGGAAAAAGAAAAGAATATTGGAGAGAAGTATACATCCCAAACATGGCTCTCAATTAAAAGAGATTCGTCTAATGCTCAAATTTACACGAGCTTCAGCTCACCAATGTTTGTTCCTAGAAACAGAAGACATGCACGGTTAAAAACTAATAAAATCATATTCCCTTGTCTTATTTTTTTAAATAAAGTCTCTTGTTTGTCACAAGAAAATGAAAAATCTCTCTTGTATATTCAAATGATGTTGTCTAATTTTCAGAACCAATGAATGGTACACACATCATTGTCCTCTCTGTGAGAAATAAGAAATGAATATAATTGTTCTGATTATAGCAAAAAAACATCTAGGATAATTTGCATGTGTTCAGGCTTTACCTCGGGATTGACTGATAGACAAAAGAGTAGTAAGCCAGACAATTTAATAAGCAAAATAAGTGCTCAGGCAATACAAACTAATTTATTTTTTTACAACAGAATCATTGTTGAACAAGAGGTTTTGCCTACGTCTCAAGTGTTTGATGCAGCAAGATAACTTGTTCAACAATGGTTATGTTGTCCACAAATTTGTAATTTAGCATGATTTAGAGTCCGTTTGGATGAGTTTTAAAAAAGTAGCTTTTGAAAAGTACTTTTAAAAGTGCTAGAACTTATTCACTTCATATGTAGAAGATGTTTCTAGAATTATTAATTATCTTTCTTAATAGATTTTTTTGTTGGTGTGAAATTACATTTTCGCCCTTGATCGTCCTCCCACTTCACTCTTAAATATAATAGAAATAATAATATTGTTAAACAAATCGCTATAAATACATTTCTTTCCAAAGAAAATAAAAGATATAAATTTTAAATTATTAAAAAATAAATTAATTCATATAAGTTATATTTGATCCTTCTCGCACATTTTCTTTTTTTACAATTTTTGATCATCAATCGATTATATTTTTGTATTTTGATGGTTAAATTTATTCTTTTCACTTATTTTTTTTTTTGTAGAATGTATAATAGTTGCCCCAAATATATTTTTTACAAATATAAAACTAATAAATTATATGTAACTTTTTATTACTTTTTAATATGCTTTTATTCACACTTTTTTCTTTTTATTTTTCTTATTTTTACACTAAATAATAAAAGAAAAATAAAATGAGGATAAAAACTCAAATAATAATAATCAAAGAAGTCAGAAATTAAGTATTGTGTCAAAAATGTAGAATAGGTATTAAAAAAAAGTAGTGTGGTTTTTTACCCTGTGCGCACCCAAAAAGGGTAGCGGCTGCGGGTTTCCCTTGTCGTAAAAAAAAAAACAGTGTGTGAAAAAGATAAAAATACATGATTTTTTTAATCATCAACAATTAGAGAAAAAAAATTACACGGTTAAGCAAAACATATACTAGTTAATTAGTCATTATAGCTATAGTTTTAGTTAATTACCACAAGCATCAATTTCAGTGATAATTATGTGGGTTAGAGTTTTAAATTTGTATAATTCGCACGATTGTATAATTCGAAATTGGTAAAACATGATATATATAAACTTTGTATCATATAATTTGTATAACTGTTCAAAGTTCAGATGTTTGTATTTGTATAAATTTGTTAGTTCGAGTTTATGCAAAAAAAAAAATCAATTATACTAACATACATGCGAATTATACAAACTCATCTATGATTATGCACAGCCACAAAATTATATAAATCACGAATTATTACAAACGATGCAACATAAATTGTAGCTACAACCCGTAAATATGCAAACTATAGCTAAGGAGCATAATTGAGTTTATTATAGGGATTATTTGCGAAGATTCCCCTTAAAAAATAATTTCAATTAGTTTTTCCACTTTTGTAATGGTATGGTATATGCGAGTCATTTTTGTAACGAGAGATACAGAAGTTCTAAATGATAAAATTGAGGGGTATATCAAACTTTATTTCGCATATACCTACTAAAAAAATTAATTACGGTTCATAGTTATAATTTGCTAATTACGATTCGTAACTACTTGTTATAGGATGGAGAGTGACCAGCGAGATTGAGTGAGGGGGGGAGAGAGACGAGCGAGAAAGGATAGAGAGTAACAGAGAGGTGAATTGTATATGTATAATTTATGAATACATTTATATAATTCGCGTGTTTTTGTATAATTGAGTAAAATAAAATCTAAAAATATACAAATATAATAAAATTCAAAATAACAAATTGATACAAATATAATACTAAGAAGTTTACTCTATTTTGTATAAAAAAATGTATACTTTTATAAATATCAATCAAACCATAAGTAATAGGAAGTTTCTCATATTTTTCTTACACCTTGTTAGGAAAACATTTGGGGCAATTCAATGGTCATATTTTTCTATTTTAATGCGTATATTGACGAACAAAAAGTTGAGGTAGTATTATTGTGTTATTTTCCTGTTAAGTTTTTTCAAAGTATGTAATGTTAAACTTGAATCAAGACGTGTTCTTAAATAAGCCTATATTGACCAAATAAGGAAATATAGACAAGAAATTTGTTTCCTTTCATTGTCATATTGATCGGTTCGAAAACATACATGCACTTGTCGTATACTATAAACTATATAAAGAGTTGTATCAATGGACTGAAGGAGAATTTCGGTGTATTGATAAAGTTACTAATCAGGATTTACGAGGTTAAAAGTTTAAGCAAATGTCGAATAAGATTATATAGAGAGTAATAAATTTCGGTGATATTGTTCTTTCAGAATATTTTATATATAGTTAACGTTTTAATGCACTAGACTGTCCTTTTAATTATATCAATGAATTATATTTAACTTGTATTTGAACATACGATTTCAAATTAACATTTCGATATGTAATTTGAGATAATGATTTCAAATTTCATTTGCTTTAGAAAAAAGATGATTTTGAATTTCAAATATTGATTATAATTTTTTAAAAATATAAAACTTAATTTTATTAAAGAAAACTCTATTTTATCTTACCAAAATAATTACTAATTTTTAAATTTCAAATTTTAACTTTCAAAAAAACATCTTAATAAACTAGTAGTAAATTTGTGTACATTCATCATATATCCTTTAATGTATTTAGTGTAAATAAATATAAATTAGTTATTTTTTTGGTAACCCCTCTAATCTTTTTAGGAAAAAAGGTGCCTATTTTTCAAGCTAAGAGATTTCCATTTCTTTTCATATTTAGAAAAAAAATAAAATGTAATAGTAGAAAATTCTTAGGAAAAAACCAAACGGAGACTTGACTTAAAAATGAGGACGGGAGTAAACCCAATAAATATCTGCCACGTTACCCCCTCCCCCCCCCCGCCGCGCAAACAACACAAGAATTTCCTCTTTATTGCCGAAGATTGTATTTCTTCATGAGTCTCCTACTCTCCACCATTTTTGAACTCATCACTCTCAAACCCCAAAAATTAAAAATTAAAAAAAAAAAAAGGTTTCTCTGAACCAAAAATCTCAAACTTCATCATCAATTTCTCAAGTTTCATTCTCCGGAATTGATTTGTTTGTTGATCAGAAAACGGCTAACTCCGCCATCTCTGTGAGTTTTTTGTTTTTTTTTCTTCTATAGTACCGATCATGTTTTTAGTTGTGATTTCATCTTTGATTCTGTTTTGAGATTTTGTTTTTTCGCAACCAGAGTTATTGATTTTTTTTAAATTTTTTTTCGTTTTGTGTTTGTGTATTCCGATTATATGGCATCTGTTTTGATACATTTGATAACTTTTTCAAATTTCGGTAATAAATCAGAACTTTCATTAGGCAAATCATGCTATTTACATGATTCAACTAAACCTCTTCAGAAAAAGCTAGAATCTCAGTAGCAATTGAAATTTCATTTAGGTAGAGCTCAAAGGGTTCAGCCTCAATTTAAATAATGTAAAAACGGACTAATTTTCCGTCGATAAAGTTTCTCGGGCTTTTTGCTAGCTTCGCCCTGATTTGAGCACAAATCGATACAATTTTTTTTTGATTGCCTAAATAAATGATTGAACCATTCAATAAATTCAAAACTAAATTAAATGCAAATTTTACCAATTCTAAATTATTAGATCTTAGTTGCTGTTGTTGCATGAAATTATATGAACACTAGGAATTTAACACATATGTAATAATTCATGTATCTAATAGATTCTATGTTCACCATTTTCTTACGGACTTTTTTCTTTTTCGTTTTACTTATATTGTGCGTGTGTGACTCAGCGAGAATAAATTGGTGGTTTTCTAATATATCGAGAGTCAAGTTGGCTAGGACATGACGTGTTATTCATGTGTCATAGTGTTAAAAAAAATTTTGTTTTAATTTATTTATTTTATTTTAATATGTTATGTAATTTAAAAAATAATTTGAATTTTGTGATTTTTAATTTGACATGGTGTTTATATCATATATTTTCTAATAAATGATAGTGTTATGTCTTCGTTGCATTAGGAAAAATAATACATACATTATTTTTGTGTTATTAATGTTTTGTTTGTGTACATTTTTCAACATATCTCTTAGTGGGATGTTTAGATTGATTTTTTTAAATGACTTACTCTGTATTTCAAATTCATGTGATTTACTGTTTTTTTTAATTAATTCCAAAAAGAATCCTATATTTTTATATTAATTAATAATTTAATTATAAAATATCTATTTTATTCTTAATAAAATAAATTTATAACTATTGAATTTTTATTATTCATTTGAATTACAAATTTTAAAAAATTTCGTCTTTCTTAAATTCTGTATTGAGTCAAATACCCTACCTAAAACGAGACAGAAGGATTATAAAATAAAAGTTACTCTATAAATTGGTAATACCTAACTTTTGACTTTTTGTTTTTTTTGTTTGTACTCTCTCAGCTTTATAAAATTACTTAAAAGCACTTTTGAAGCCATACGAACACTTTCAAAACAAAACAAAAAAATGTATTAAAGCCAAAGTCATCAAAAATAAGTTAATTTAAACACCCACTTAGTTATACACTTTATTTGGTATCAAGACACGAATAACTATAATACAAGGAGTAGTGCATTCATTAGCGTGATTAAAAATATATTTACCCCTTAAAATATTTTTAATATCCTTTCCATCATATTTGAGTAGAGTATTTTTGCATATAAATATTTATTTCTTATAAATTGTGCAATACGTGTTATTTTTTATGAATCAAATCAAACAGTGCATATAAATTACAATCTGCATAACTAATACAAATATTACTAATACGCCTTATTCAACATTATTCTTATGTACGCTAAGTTTTAAATTTGTCTTTTTAAATTTTCCCTCCCTATCATGCAAAACTTGACCCCCAAGTAATTTTGGTACATTCCTATCAACTACAGCCAAGTGGGAATAGACTCCACATAGTGATGATTTCAATTCTTTGTTACAAAGTCTCAGTCAAATTTGCATGCGTTGACAAAACATAGCATGAATTATTTGCCAATCATCCTATTTCATTTAGTTTCACTAATTTTCTACATGAAATTAGTATACCTAATAATTTAGTTTTATCATTTTATTGTATGATTTGTAGTAAGATAAAGTTTTGCATAAGAATGATGATATTAGTAATAATTGGATAGTACTTAAGGATGTAATTAATGAAGTGGATTAAGAATGCAGAGGTCTCAGATTTAAATTAAATATCCACTAGTGATTTGAAATTTAAATATATACTTTTCAAACTTATTATAATATTAAGAAATGAAAAATATAGTAGGCTTAGAGAATTGTTTTGCTGAGATTAGTAAATGTTGCAATTATGTTTCTTTGCCAGGAGGCTGCTGGGGCATGATGTCCAGCAATACTCCTTTTTTGTTTAATGATTATATTGATCATTTGGTAATGAAAATAATAATATTATTTTTTTGTTTTTTGCTGGCCAAATATTATTTAAACATCAAATGTTGTTATAGGTGTATATATATTTTTTTGGGTTATAGGTGTGTGTAAGTGAACTTATAACAATCAAAAGATGTTGGAACAAGGATTTTGTTGCAGAAAAGGTTGAAAGTATTTGGTAGTTGGAATGATGGAATTCTGGTTTTGATATTTCGTTGGTGAGTGAAAAAATTTTTAGGAGAAAAATATATATTAAATATTAATAATCAAATTGAATAGTATTTTGAGTATTAGAAATGAACAATAATGTACAAGTGTTAGATGAAGATGAAACAAATTAGTTGAGATAGTTCTCTCTGTTTTTATCTACAACTTTTTTGCAGAGAAAAAGACTAGACATTGCTCTGTGATTGTGATTCCATGGGTCGTTTTCCCTATCAATACTTTCACTCTTTTGTCTTTTCCTTTCTGTTTCTCTTTTCTGTAAATACATATAATATGTTGACAGGAAATTATATCACCAAGAATTAGTGTTCCTGCTATGCAAGTGAGCCGTATGAGAGCTTTTTGTAAATCTTGGTAACATGATCCCAATGTGTGATTACAGGATATCGATTTCAAATTCTTAGTTGTGAGGGGGGTTGACCATTAGTCTTGGATAGTAATAGTTTTCTTTGTTTATATTTGGTAATGTACAATATTTGACTGTCGGAGTGACTATTTTCTAAAAACGCAGAAAAATGGAATTCTCTCGAGTAGACTACATGAATGATGACTCTGACTATAATTCTCCCTATATCTTCAAGGGATCTTCCTCAGCAACTACATCTCAGAGGCCCGGTATTCACCGGGTATGTTTAAGTTCTTTATGAAACATTCATCGTTTTAGTAGTTAGCAACTGTTTTCTATATTTATTGTTTTAAGACCTTCTCTTTTTAACAATTATTGTGCTGTATGCATTTCCTTTGTGACTTAAGACAGAAGTCAAAAAGGACATTTTGTTAGTTTTGGGTCATGTTTTGCAAAAATATTGAATATAAGTTCGAAACGTTCTTCTGTTGATTAGTGGTGTAGCCTAGTTCTCTTGTATTACCACCTGCTTCCCCATATTCTTTTATTTTTGACGATAAATGCACTTGACTAACAATTCATGCAATATACAAGCTTCAATTAATTGAATGTCCATTGTGTTTCATGATGAGCCAATCTTTAGTCCCTGTTTCCTTTATAGCGTCATCTTTTAGATAAAGAAACAAGGGAAAGAGTCTATGAGAGCAACATCTCTTGATTTTGAGAAGTTACCTCTCTTGCACTGCAGCTTGCAGGATATGACTTTAAGGCTGAGGCTTATCAGAAGGTAGATGAATTTCCTGCACACATTATAAGAGAAGGGGATAAGAAGATAAAAGATGTGGTCAAGGAGCATGTACTCCCTTTCCTTCCTGCTAAGTCGCTTATGAAGTTTAAGGCCGTGTCTAAAGATTGGGATAAATGGATCGCTAGTCCCTTATTAATCCACCAACAAAGTTTTTCTTGCCAGAGTTTTTCGGGCTACATTTATCAAAATATGAGTGCATGGGATATGAATACTATGTTTTTATCTCTGGACCCTTCTACAATTGGAGTTCCCAGCCCAGCCCTTGATTTCTTGCCTGAAGTTGTCAAAATTCTAAGCTCGTGCAGCGGGTTGCTCCTTTGTCAGGGGTCAGAGAAGTATTATGTTTGCAATCCTGCAACTCAAGACTGGAAAACTCTCCCTCCTCCCCGGTACTATCATGGTGATGAACCGGCAGTTGTTCTTGCATTTGAACCTTCTCTCCGTAACATTGAGGCATATTATCATGTTATCTGTGCATTTCCTATGCTTGATCAGCCAATCATCGGATTTGAGATTTACTCTTCAGAATCAAATACTTGGAGCTGCTCTTCTGCATACTGTTCTGATCTAGAAAATTCGTGTCTTGATGGTGGGAATTTGTTTATGAAGGGGGTTGCTTACTTCGAGACAAAATCAAACGAAGTATTGGCCTTTGATGTGAAAGAAGAGATCCCTGCAATTATATCTTTACCTGCTCAAGTTGGGAGGCATGGATCCTTAACACAGATGGATGGTGAGCTGAGCTACGTTACTGCTTTTAATGAATGTGAAAATGTCTTCTTAATAGATATCTACCAAGGCATGGAAATGAGCCTGAAGCGCAGTGTTAGCATCAATCTTGGACCTGAGAGGGGTCTTACTTGTGCGTGCAAGGTACTACCCTGTGTTAACAGTGATACTGTGGCTATTCAGGTTCGCGAACACATATACTTGTATCACATCAGGGAGCAGAAAGTTGAGTCTATAGCAAGTCCAAACGCTATCGGTCCAGCCAAAAGGTTCCTGCCCTACATAAACAGCCTTGCTAATGCTACAATTCAGTTGAAGCCTTAATTCACTCTCTGTCCATGAGTGAAAAATCACTGATTTTACAGCTCTTTTGAATCTTTGCTTACATTATGACTTAGATGGTGTATAAAACTAAGTTGACATTCTGTTTTTTGTGAACAATGGATTTCGTCTAAGTAGCTTTCATTTGGATAGTGACATTTTTATTATCTTTGGCCATCAACATAAGTGTTTATTTATTAATTTTTGTGGTTTATTTTTCAACTATAGTTTACTGTAAATTATGGTATGTTCTGTTCTGTATTATACTGAAATTCTGTATGCTCCTGTTCTGTATTTATGAGATTCAAATTCGGAGATTTTATGAGTTCCCAGCCCAACTCTTGATTTCTTGCCTGATTCTAAGCTCTTGCAGCTGGTCAGGGGTTGGAGAATTATTATGTTTGTAATCCTGCAACCCCAGACTGAAAAATGCTTCAGTATTATCATGGGGAAGAACCCGCGGTTGTTCTTGCATTTGAGCCTTCTCTTCTTAACATTCAGGGGATATAAAATCACTGATTGAGTGAGCCCTTGGAATGTAATGTCTTTTGAGTGACCATTTGTTTTATAATAATAAATAAATGAGGAGGAGGGGGTGTGTTTATTATTTTGTTTTCATGGTAATATGGGGAGAGGAGAATTGTGGGGTAATGAGGAACTATAATTCTGGAAATAAGAATAACAAACTAATTATGTTTGATGAAATTAGAGGTATTAAATGGCAACCCCTCTAAAGATTTGGCAAGAGAGAGAGGCCCCCTTCTTTTCAGGAACACACCAAGTATTGTTTTTGGGGGGGGGGTTGGGGCTGGGGAAAAACTGCTACACTAAGATGAAAATTTTACAATGTTAACATTTCTCTCTCTGTTCCATTTGACAGCAATTTCTTGTTCTTCATTGAGGTAAAACATCTTTTATTTATTTGCATTCTTTCTTCTTTGTTCGTAGGTAACATGCAAAATATCGTTTTGTTTTGTAGGGACATTGAAGAATCGTTGAGAAGAAAGAGCAGTTAACGGGAGATAGATATATAGATTGGGAATCTTTTTTATCATTTTGTCAAAGATATGGATTCATCTCCTGGAACTGCTTCCTCCAATGATACTGATTCTAAAGGAACCCCTTCTTCAAATGGAACTCCGCCTTCATCTTCATCTTCAGATTCAAAAAATGATTCTCCTTCCTCTTCGTCTTCATCTCCATCGCCAAAAAATGAATCTCCACCTTCATCATCACCGCCACCTCAATCTCCTCCTCCGTCTTCTAATGCATCACCACCTCCAAAAAATGATTCTCCTCCGCCTTCTTCACCACCACCATCCTCTCCTGGTTCTGATGCATCACCATCAAAAGATAACAATAACGATAATAATAATAATAATGATAATAATAATAACAACAACAATAATAATAATACTAATAATCAATCCCCAAATCCTTCGTCTAATACACCATCACAATCACCACCACCATCATCAACGTCCAATAATCCATCAACCCCAAATAGTCCTAAAAATCCTCCATCATTTCTGTCATTTTCCCCACCACCACCTGTTCTCACGCCTGCACCTCCTCATGCACATTTGTCTCCTCCTCCGCGCTCAGGATCTAATGAACCATCGCCTGCAAACAATGATTCCTCAAGTACTGTTGGTATAGTAGCTGGAATTGCTGTCGGAGGCATAGTCATAGTCGCGTTGATCATTCTATGTGTATGGTGTAGTAGAAGGAAGAAGAAGCAGAGATACTATATGGCTCCTGGACCTAAAGGTATGTATGTTACAAAATTATTAATTATAAATCATATTACTTTCGATTAATATGTTTTTTGATTAGGTGGTGATCCATACTACAATAACAACAATCAATGGAATAGACGTCAGTCGATGGATCATGTAATGAAGGTACCACAAAGTGAAATGGGGACTCAGAGTGGTTGGGCTGGAGCTACTCCACATCAGCAGGGAGCAAATTCAAGCGGCGAATTTGGATCAGGTTATTCAGGCCAAGCAGCGCCATTGCCTTCTCAATCACCTAACATGGGACTTGGTGGTTTCTCCCAGAGCCAATTCACTTATGAGGAGCTAGCTAAGGCCACTGATGGATTTTCTCAGGCCAATCTGTTAGGACAAGGTGGTTTCGGATACGTGCATAAAGGTGTTTTGAATGATGGAAGAGTGGTTGCTATCAAGAGTTTGAAAGCAGGAAGTGGACAAGGAGAACGAGAATTTCAAGCTGAAGTTGAGATCATTAGCAGAGTTCATCATCGTCATCTTGTGTCCCTCGTTGGATATTGCATTGCTAATGGACAACGCATGTTGGTCTATGAATATGTTGACAACAAAACCTTGGAGTTTCACCTTCATGGTACATTCTTTGCCTATTCAATACTCTCTATTATGAAATAAGAGAATTCTTTTTCCTAGTTGATTCCCGAATTTCGATCTAGTCTTGATAAGGGTGAAATCAAATTCAATATTGCAGGAAAAGGTCAACCTGTCATGGATTGGGAGACCAGACTTAAAATTGCTTTGGGATCAGCTAAAGGACTTGCTTATCTCCATGAAGATTGTATGAACATTCTAATCTACACTTTCACCTCTCTCTGTCTCTCTTTATCTCTCTTCCTCTCTCATTTCTTGCTATATACATGCAGGCCAACATAGAATTATCCACCGCGACATCAAGGCTGCAAATATTCTACTTGACCTCAATTATGAAGCCTTGGTAATTTAATGATCAACCACATTTAAGTTTTATGTTAAAACCTCGCGTTTTTGTTTAAGAAAGGTTTATTAAAGGAAAAAATTTGGTTCATTAGGTGGCAGATTTTGGATTGGCTAAGCTTACTTCGGATAACAACACTCATGTATCAACTCGTGTTATGGGAACATTCGGGTGAGTCAAGCATAACTACTTAATCGTATAAAACTTGTATCAACAATCAGAACCAATTATGCATTTTAACATACTTCAGATGTATCTAAGCAAGAAAGTTACTTGCAGGTACTTAGCTCCTGAATATGCATCAAGTGGCAAACTAACAGAGAAGTCCGATGTGTTTTCATATGGAGTCATGCTGTTGGAACTCATAACCGCGAAAAAACCAGTTGATCCTAGCAATATGATGGAGGACAGTTTAGTAGATTGGGTTTGTTCTAGATCCTCACTTCACATTTGATAGCGCCAAGACGTGCTTAGACTTTCAACTTTTAATTCAGGTATTGATCTAATATATGAATGTATACAGGCTAGGCCCCTTCTTACAAGAGCACTTGAAGAGGAAAAATATGATGGATTGGTAGACGCACGTCTTGAAGGGAACTATGATACAGATGAGCTACATCGCATGATAGGTTGTGCTGCATCTAGCATTCGCCATTCTGCTAAAAGACGTCCCAAAATGAGTCAGGTATGATTACCCTCTCCACAAGATAATTAACAAATATGTTGCAGCATATTTTGGTGGTTTACTTATATGGACTCTAGAATTCAGGTTCATCTCCGATTGGACAAAATGACTAGTTTCACTTATGTATGATGAACAGATTGTACGTGCATTGGAAGGCAATTCATCGTTGGAGGACTTGAACGATAATCCAAAACCAAGCAAGGTTGCTAGCTTCGCGGGGGCACCCACTCAGAGCTATGATACTGGTATGTATAATGCTGACATGATGAAGTTCAGGAAAATGATTATGCCAACACAAGAATTCAGCAGCAGTCCAAGTGAGTAATGAATCAACCCTTCTTACTCCTCCTCAAGCAACGACTCAACTCGCGAAGCAAGAGTAAAAAAGAATGTACCTAAAGCTTGAGATATTTTTTCAAAACATATTCTTGGCTGGAACTGATGATAACAAAGATTTGGGATTACAAAAATTAATGTTTATGATGTACATTCATTACTCATATCTTGATTTGAATAACAAAGATTATAGGATCAGAATACAATTATACCTTTTTTGTTTCAATATGTACAGCAATTCACATACAATTTATTCCTACAAAAATGTTGAAAATCTTTATGTTTACCATATTTCTATTTCTATTCATCTCCATTTTAAGTACCAAAATCTTGTTGTTTTTTTTAAATAATTTATTCTTAACTTTTATCATAAGTCTGCTTTAAAAGGTTTCATTCTGCTCTCACAGACACAGACACAACTCCTGTTTGTTAAAATAAAAATTAAAAAAAAATACAATCAACAGTTTTCTGTTATTAGTGTATCTAAATAATTTAACTTCAATATTTCATTTTGTCCGGATAAAATTAGTTATAATCACATAAATATTTTAGATTGTAAATTTCAAAAGTATTTTTAGGAATAAGTGATGAGTAAATTTGAATGGAGAGAATAATATTGTACATAGGATGATGCGATACTCATCTCATATATATAGAGAGAGAGTATTATAAGTAGGAAGATTCAAAAGTCAAAATTGCATTACTATTTTACCGTTATATTAAAAGAATTAAAATAAAGATTATAAAATATAATTAAATAGTATATATATATATATAGTAAAAAGTTGCTCCTAAAATATAATAAATATTGAATTACGTATCCTTTCAAAAAGTTGTCTTCTGTATTATATATATCAATTTTTTAATAAAAAAACGTGGGACTCAAAATAGTAATTACTATAATGAAAGGTCGTTTTTCGCGTTAATGTAATAAAAGTCGTTTTTCGTGTTAATGCAATATTGCACAAGAAAACCAAGAGATTTAGCATCAATCAACATTTTTCCATTAAAATTTAAAAGAAAGATTTGTATTGAATAATTTAATAAGTAACTCATTCAAATCGATACATGAATCAAATTCATATTAATTTTCTTTTATTTTTATTCACTCCTTTTTATCCAGCCTAAGTATTTTATATGCCCTTTTTTATATTTTGATATACCTTCTTATGATTTTGTTTTTCTATTAAAATATCTTGTGTCCTAAGTGAAGAAATTAGTGATATACAATTCATGTTCTACTAATAATTGGTGAAAGATTAATTAGTCAATTTGATATGCTTATTTGGCTCTCGATATTTTTTAGTTTATTATTTATGAGTAGAAAGAGAAATAACTAAATGAGAATTTAACCCTAAAATAAAATGGGCCACTGAATTGCTAGATAAATGATGGATCATAGTATGTGATTTTAAGGCTATATTTTTATTTAACTTTTTGTTTATAATCTATTGACCTTATTAGTTTATTATTCATGTGTTAGAAATATTCATTTTTCAAATTGACCCCATATATTATATATCTAGAATAAGTCATTTTGAAATATTTGTGTTGCTTAATTTATATT